TCAGATATCAAATTGATTAGATTTCAAAGCTTTTCATGTGTTGCCATTTAACGTTCGAGGAGAAAGAGGATTCGATTAATGGTTACTGCGCATCTATATACTACAAGAAAGATAGTAATAACTGACTAAAGTAATAACTGATTAAACGAGCTTCTGGGGCAACGAAGTGCATAGCTTTGTGGAACTTCCATTGATTTTTCTAAAACGTTTTATAAAACGTAGAAAGATAAAAGCAGAATTGTGGAAATATTTTGTGACACGAGACGATCGCTCGAGAATTCAAAGGCGATGATAATAGCACCTAATTAATCATTACGTATCTCACTACCTATTTTCACAGAAATTTCGTATCGAGCGTTAATCGCAGATTATTTTATCCCCATTAGATATCTCAACGAACAATTTAATTTCAAAGTTACGATTCTTTAAATTCGCCGGAAGGTCGATATGAATAATTTCTTTCTTTATCGTTTACGTTGTCTAACTTCACGTTGAAAATTTTATATTTTAATGCATCGCGCACGCTATGTTTTCCTTCCTCGATTTACGTAATGCCGGAGAAATAAAACAGCATGAAACGAGACGAAAAGCTGATTTTTATATACGCTCGATTAATCGAGATTACAGAAACGCGAGCAAGCATGGAAGAGTTGTGTGGTCGTGACTCGGGTTGACTTGTTTATCGCGATCAGAAGCTGAAAAGTCAAGTTATTCACGAACAGCAAAGCGGAGTGGGGAAAGTGGCGCCCAGTTGGACACCAGTGTATCAAACGTATCGCGATATACACTGGTTAATTATTAGTGGCGCAATATGCAAGCATGTCTGTACGAATAACTCTCTACCCGTTTGAACTTTACATTTCTTTCTTTCTTTTAACTCTGTCTTAAGATCTGATCGTTAATATTAATAGTGATCGATAGCCACGTTGTAATGCGAATCCTTTACAGAGAGCGCTATTCAATACCCACGTACGCCATCTACTGATTATAAAAATTCGAATTCTTTTGTTGACCCCAAAGAATGATACATAAACGTTAATAGAATACATAAATTAACTAATTAACTAATTATATAGCGATAAAAATTTAGCGGGATCAGTGAATTATATGTTGAAATTGTGCATTGAAAATTCCTACTAGGATTTATTGCTGTTGCAGGTAAAGATTGATATAATTAATAATCCTAGAATTATCAGAATTAGATATCTATAATAGAAGATTTATTTAGAAAATAATTAATATAGTAGATAATACACTATTCGATATTTGTTATTGTTCATGAATATCGGATCAATTTTCGTAATTAAAAATATGTAAATATTTTGTAGAATGCAAAACACAAAAATTAACTACTGAAATCAGTAGATATCTGTCACCTTCTTGTGGGATCAATATATTGTAAATTAAAATTATTTATTGAAAAATTTACCAATAATATATTGAACTTCATTATACACATGTATGCTACTACTCGTAAGTAACCAGACTGTATACGAATATCATTAAAATATAAAAATTAACGACTACAAGTAATGTTTACAATCGTCTTGCGAAAGCGATAAATTGTAGCAAATTAAAATTATTTATCGATAAATTTATTAGTAGCGTATTAAAATTAAATATACGATTTCTTTACGTACTCTATTTGTGTTACTGTATTTATAACTAACAATAAAATACAGAAATGACTGTCTAAAAGCAATACTTGCTACCTATTTGTAAAGATAATAAATCAAATTAATAAATAAATAAGTTAAAGTTAATTATGTTGTAAGAAAGTTATTTTTCACTTATCACTGATGGACTTATGAGCAATGATGGAGTTAGAGCAATGATCTATAATCAGAAATCTGTGAATAAAAGAATCTTTAAGTAGCGAAAGAATTACGTAATGTTTGACATCACAGATATTAATTTTGTTATCCTTTTTTATGGTTTTAAAAGTCACATAATTTTGATAATAATATTTTTTAAAGCCGTGATATTTCACTATATTCTATTATATATAGTTATATCAATTGCAAAGAATAAAATTATATTACATTCTATCACATATAATTTTATTCAAATATTCGAATATTTTTAGAGCGATGCTATGTATACGTACATCATTTGAGAATTGATAATTAATTTAACAAATATGATTATTTTAATTTGGACATATATATATTTATTATTATAGTAAATTCTTATGTAATTAAAGTGAAAATGTGTAAAATACTTCTTTTGTACACTTTATGATTAATAATGAACAGATTTTATAAATTATTATCAAATCAAAATAAATAACGTGTAAAATACTGTAAAAATTAAATAAATTCATATAAAACAAATTTAAATTTCTTCCATAGACCATAGTACAAGTTTTAGATATGCTTTCATAGAAATTTTATACAAATAAACATAAAACGAACAATATTTGTGGCAGATAAGTAGAAAAGTTTGTTCATTTTAGATAATTGACCTTCGTTCAGAATGTAGATTACTAAGATTCTGACCTGTACTAAAAGCTCATGGTTAGACCATCATGAATCATGGCAATTTGGGGTAATGTATTACGTTTCTGTGTCAACAACTAATGTAGAAAAATATATTTTTGTGTCTATAATTATGATGGCAAAAGTTACAACGATTATTGCATTCATTAATGATAATTTATAAGTAAGAACTTAGAGTAAAACTTATTTACAATAAAACAATTACAGTGATACATGCTAAATGGTTAATCGTACAAGAAAAGTATGTTAAAGCATTTTTTCAAAATGCGTAGAAAGTTTTAAAAGTATTTTTAGAAAGTATTATTTATTTTGGACGCAATTAAACCTACTATATAACGTGGTGAGACACTCCTGATGGACAAGGCTTGGTCGTGTCACCTAGCAGTCAATCTAGGTATATTTAAGTTTATTAAAGAGAGTAACTCAAGAGATATAACCGTCCCATTCATAAGTTTATAAGCAAGATGAAGATTATTATATTATACAGGGTAGACCATGTATATGACCATGTAACGTGACTACCTCGATGATCTTCAATTGTTTAGTTATTAAAGAAACGGTTAAAAAAATTTTGTTTCGTAAATGGTAGAATATGGAAGAATAACGCAAAGATAATGGTAGCTAATTTTTCTTGAATTAACTATATTATTAAAATAAAATAATTAAAATCTACTAAAAGCAGAAACGTCATGGTTACGTCAAATGGTCCATCTTGTATAACAAGATCACAATATTCATATTACAACTCTGGTCCATATTCTTGAATTTTCATATTCCTTCACTTACGGGTGCAACAAGTCTCTCTAGTATACGTTAAAAGGAAGACAGCGCGAGATAAAAGAATAGGAAATCCAAAAACAAAACTTCGAATTAGTAATGAATCTAGAGTATTGCAGTAGTTATTTACATCGATGATCATCCAACTGAAACGGTTGAATCGTTCGAAAAGGGTTCTACGAAACCTTTAACAAATCGCGATGCCTAATTCTAGAAGAAGAAGTATTAATACAAAAGTGCGATAACGCTATAGGACAGGTAACAGAGCCGTTCAGAACCTTATTCCTATATATTCCCACCTTCTGTCCTATCGAAGGCGCCACGAAAATAATATTCAAACGAAGGTGGAGTCGTAAGTTGGCACGTGTCAGAGATTAAAGCGCAACAAGAGGCTCTACCCTTAAGTCGGCTGAAAAAGCGACGAGATTACGAGGAACCGTCGCTTCTGCCTCTCCGATAGCGTAGGTCGAGCCTCGCCGATGATGAACCATGCTCGTCCCTCGCGTAAATCCTTGGTCGCTGTTCGAAATGCATGTGGGTGCCACGAACGCGATCAGCCTGGTGTGCGTGACCGCGTTTCCTTGTGTACGCCAATGCGAGGGAGTTCTCGAAGGCGGTCTTTAGTCGGTCTTTGGTCGGTCTTTAGTTTCGAGTAAGCATCCGTCGAAGATAGAGAGGACCCTCCTCGATTTATCCTAGCGACGGGTTTCCTCTTCCGGCTTAACTCTTTGCTCCACGGATCCAGTCTCTGGATCCTTGCACGTCGACCTGCGTTACTTGTTTCTCTCAACCTGCGTTTACCGTGCTCTCGCGATTCCATCGTTTATCGATTTCATCGACTTTTTGCCTTCCCATTGCTTTCTTTCGGTCTATGGAATTTTGGATGGGAGAAAAACGACCGGTCAACCGTTCAGATAGAAGATTCGGGAATTCTTAGAGATCTCAGAGTTTTTCAATTGTGATCGAAGTGGATCCGATCGGCGAATCGTTCAGTCATTTGGAGAAAAATTTGGGAAAGGAAGCTGTTTTCTCAAACATCTCAAAGTTTTTGAATTTTCGTTGAAACGAGTTCATCGAAACGAGATTAGTGCATTAATCAGTTATCCAAAAGAGAATTTGGAGAAAGAAGCTACTTGTTTTTAGAAAGCTTCAAGCTTTGAAGTTTTGAACCAAGTGTGAATCGAACAGTAGGCTGTTCAGTTATCTAAAGGAGAATTTGGAAAAGGAAGTCCTTTTCTTAGAGATCTCAAATCGAATCATTCAGTTATTTCGAAGAAAATTTGGGAAAAGAAGTGTTTCGTTGGAGATCTCAGACGGTTGAAGTTTTGGATCCAAGTGAATCCTTCACTTATTTACAGAAAAGAAGCCTGAGAGTTTTGAAATTTTTATTGAAGCGAACCAAGCAGTTTAATTACTAAGTGAACCGAGTTTAATTACTTGGAAGAAAATTTCCGAAAAGATAGTTTTTGAACATCTCAAAGCTTCCAAATTTACATCAAAATGAATCAACCTACAAAGTATCCATTTCTCTAAAATAGGATTTACAGAAAGAAGGTACCTTTTTACGAGATCTCGATGCTTTAAAGATAGAAATATAATTTGAAAGAATCTCTGTATTTTAATCCCTTCGATCCCTTTTTCCATTTTTGAAGAAACGAATCATGAAGAATTGGAAACAATAGTCCTAATTAGAAGAATCCATATACAAAAGAGCTAACTGTTCGCGGTTTCATCGATTCTCGAGTGAACGAACTCATGAAAATCCTAGTCCACGTGTGGTCCAATAGGTGTGATAAACAATCGAAAATCAAAATTGTGCTACCGATTATATCGAAATCGTTGTTTACAATGTGAACCAGTTGTAGTTGTGCATCACCTTTCGTATCTAGTTCCGCGTTAGCTCTTTGGAACTTACAATTAGAGTTTGACGATGGATCATGAGAAAGCGCGAACGTTAAAGTGCCGACGGTAATCGACGAAGGCGTGTTGAAAGTTCGGTTAGTGCGAGACGTCAGTTTTTCCTTCCTTTTTTAAAGAGAGGGTGGTTTCCTTCCATTTTGGTCCCTGCACCAGAGATGGAGAGGAGAAGAATACCAAGGAGAAGAGGTCTTTCCTCTGCGGAGATTCAGACGGGTAAATACCACGGTTTATTCTCGATTTTCCTGGACCATTCAGGTTCAGACGAGTAAATACGATCGTTTATCGACGATTCGCTGTTATACATGCGTATCGTTATACAGGGTGTTTGGAAATAGGGGCGTGAAGCTTGAATGGTTTACACGGGTCTAAGGTCTTAATGGCGGGAAAAGTAAACATTAATTGAAGGAAAATAAAATGCGTTTATACAACGAAATGTGTTTAATAGGATCTAAAATTAGTATTTTCCAAGTAGAATGTAGTTTGTTCTCTTCTTTTTAACTTCATAAGGACTGGATTATTTTAGAAAAAGCACTGAAAAATTCCGAAATTGTTTTAATATCGATTTTGTAAGTGGTCGTGATTACTATACATATACGAATGTTAATATTTTGGAAAATGCGAATATACACCGTTTTACGTAAATTCAAAGAATAAAAGAAACCCGAGTTAACACGGAGTAAAGGAAATTTTACATAAAATCGCAAATCCTGTCAACGTACGTTATACATGGATAATTCATTTACAGAAATGAAAGATAAAGAAGAAATTTATTTTAAATACAAAATATTGAACATTGACCAAGTGCTTCCATGCTGAAATTTTGAAAAATTGGAAAATGTATAAATGTATAAGTATGTCTGTTGACAGTGTATTAAATGTAGATGGAAAAAGTGATAGATGACAGGAAGAGAAATATGTTCATAACATTATATTTTGGTATTTAACATGTTTAAAAATTTATATGTGAGAATTATGAATCGATGTATATATATTTTTAAACATTTTTATCATTATGCACTGTATTTTCCACTGTTGTGGAAGGTAAATTAAATTTAATAGTCTAACATTTACTGCCTCGCGTACTATACTTCATATACTATACTTCATTTTTAATAATATAACATTTACTGTTTTTATTATATATCTTTATTATTAATTCTACGTTTATTGTATATTATAAAAACATTCATGTTATTGTCATATCCTTTAATACCTTTTTACTTCTTATATTTGCTGATTATTAATTCATCTTATGAATGTAACGATAAAATAGTAGAACATTTGTAGAGTTTTGTATACAAATTCAAAATAATACACAAAGCAACAGAAACTATATCGTACATCAGTCACGAGTTTGATAAAGATTCAACTGTTGATTGCATTATGCAATATTGTTTAACTTTTGCAACAGAATATACAGTGTACACGATATTGTACAAATTTTTGAAGAACTTATTAATTAATTACGCTATATTACGGTAAAAGTATTTATTACAGAATCTATATCGATGAAGAATTTTTTATTCCTCTTAATGAGGACTATGTGCCTTTAAACTCGTAGACCCTTTTTCTGACACCCTGTATGTCACCAACTCCAAGTTCGAATATAATGATGCTGCTGCTTGCTGCTTTTGAAAAATATTAAAAGAAATAGTTGAAAAGTTGCATGCGTGAATTTTATTACGTTAGAACTATTTCTGTTCGTTTACTAACTGCAAGCCTTTGTGATTATCTTAACAAGCATGTAAAGTCTTAGGATAGAAAAGCAATTTGAGTTTGCCACATTTTATTGTATCTTTTATCGTTTACGCAGGACTAAAGAGCATGTAAAGTTATAAATATTTGAGCATCAATTTCGATTTCTTTATTATACACCAACGAATGGTATTTCGTATAATTCTTGTGCAAATTAAATTTGTATTTAAAAACATGCTAAGGAACATTTTATAAATGCACAGTTTTTGCCTTGTTAAATCGTATTGATTAATAAACTTAAAACACTGTGCAGAAAAATTTATTTAATAGTATTTCAAAGAAGTAACAATAAAATGTAATAAGAATTTAATAAGATTAGTAATATTAAAAATTTATGCAAACTCATAATATTAGAGCTCCATTAAAGATAATAACATTAAAAATATTTTAATTAGTGATATTAAAAACCTAATATTTTATCAAGTAATATACGATTTGCAGCATAACTATTCTTCGGAAATACATCATGTGACATTACTATATATCACATTACATATTATTTATATTCTATTATTAGTATAAATTTATATTATTTAAACGATATTATACAATGTCAATGCGTATTTCACAAAATTTCTATAAATAAGCATATAATGCAATCGTACGTGTTTACTTGGTTAATCAGTCGAGAAGGCAAGAAAAAAAGACAAATGTATTCTGTCAGAAATTGGTCATTGCGTATGAAAGATAATTTCTTATACACATCATCGCGATGTTTTTTGAAACAAAAGTCGAAAGTATATCGAAACCTCGAAACATTATAAATTTCATTCATTTTCTTCGTGTGTGTCAAACGAACCCCGATTAACAAGCGATCTACCGAATATTTGACATGATTAAAATTTCGTAAAGCCTTATTCGAATTGCACGAAATATAAATTATATCCCGCCATTACGAGAATCGTAGCCATTAATTCGATGGATCGTGAAACAGGCTCGCGTTGTGCGGCGTTTTGTTAAAAAGATCACGAAAAATGAGACGCGTAAAGATGAAACACGTATTCATCCAATGTGGAAATATAAAGTCCAGATAATTGTTAAAAACACGATAAACGAGTTAATGAATTGCTATGAATAAAAAACACGAGAAATTCCTTAAGTGATTTACCATTAATCGGTGTTTGTTTCAGACGATTTATACAATAGGGAACGTAATAAAGGAAAGGTTTTCGGGATAATCGACTATAGCCACCATTTTCTTAATCTTTCTTAGTTTGGTTTATCTTTAACTTTCGTTTATTATCGTGTCGAATAATCATTTGTGAATATTTTATAATTATTTTCACTTTTAAAGGAAGATACGTCGTTGTTCATCGATCTTTTATTTTTTTATATTTTATTTTTTTGTTTAAGATTGTCAAAATTGTTGTATAGTATGTTCATATAAATGATACAACCAGATTTCATTTTTAATTCTGTAATATTAAAGGAATTCTAATATTATTTATTTTATTATTTATTATTTATACTTATATATTATAATTCTACATATATTATATATGTATAACTTTTGAGATATTCAATGATATTAAAGCAAAAGCATGATAAAGTTATTATGTATGGAACTGTCAAGTGACGTATGTATATATTTGCATATTAATATTATACTACATTTATTTATATTTATAATCTTCGTATTGGACAAATAAGATATGTTTAGGGTATAACTTTAAAGTAGGTAACATTAAGGGAATAACCTACGGTATAAACATAAAGTATGACTTTAAATAGCAATATCCTATGTATGCTATTTGAAACATAAGATCGATAAACATAATTAATATGTATATCATGTATATTAATATGTATATCTAGAAAAGTTATATCATTTATATCATAGATTAGAGTTATAAATTTCACGTTTTATTCTATCTGATAAAAAACTCAAGCATGCAGAAATTTCTCGGCATTTCATATAGCTCCATAAACACGTTAAAAACGAAATGAGTTCAAGTACGAGTCAAAATGTCGAGATAATAAAGCCGGCTTATTCGTATCTCTATTGGAACAAATGTCAACTGCTTCTAAAAAATGGGAAAAGTGGGTATAAGAGCTGGTCCTATTTTTCTGACTTTAACTTATCTTTAATATCGACATGTTCGACCTTCCGATAACGCTAACCCAAGATATTAACCACGTGCACAGCATCCAAATCTTCGAGTAACAATGCAGAAGGCTTCTTAGTGGCCATAGGACCTAAAAATAATTATAAATTTTATACGCTGAATTTATAATATTTTTAAATAATTTTGAAAATCAAATTTGCTTAAATATCACCGATTGAAATTTAATTTTTGAAGATTTTAAATGTACTTACACATCCTAATAATTCAGTATATTAGTTAATTTAGTACACTATAAATAAATATCGACTAACCTTTTCAATACTTTCTGTCATTTAAATTTCAACTAATATTTTATTTAAAAACATATAAAGACAAAATGCAATAAAATATACATAATAAACGATAGCATACATGTGAATATAAATAATTATAAATTATAACTTATAAATTAAATTATAATTATAATATAAACTAAACATCATCAACAAATTAAGATAGCATTATTAATTTGAATAAAATAAAACACATTATAACATATATTACAAAGAAATCTTATGTGAGTAAAAGTATGACTTTAGCAATAATGAATAATAATAAATTTTATAAAACCATATCTCACATAACAATAATTTGGTAAAATAATTTTACATAATTAATTATATGCATAATAATCCAACAAAATTATAATAAAATATGCTATACGTCATAAACCAAATGAGTCATTCTTATTATTCTCAAACTCTCTTTTCTCAACTTTGAAAACAAACGTGGTTTCAAAAAAGCAATTCGTCATTGAAATTCACACAGAAATCCCACAACTGTAAAAGAGAAACTCTGAGTAGCATTCCGTGCTGTTTTCCATTCTGAAAACAATAGTGTCTGATTTGTGAAACGTTTCAGGTAAGGGCGAAGCACGGAACAATGTCTATCGTATTAGAGGTAATATGAATTTAGATAAAAGAAAACGTCACCAAGACGGTAGTCGCCCCATTGTTTGCCATGATATTACATCGCAAACAAGTAATACCAGTGACTAATGAACAATTTCATATAATACATTATAGTAAAACCTTTATTGCGTGAGCCTATTTTGTGAATATTTTTTTATATAAACGTTGTATTATGTATATGAGCATGATATTTCCAATTGCAATATTGTATATAAATATACAAACTATAGGAAGAATGAAATATTATTCACAATGATTTGGCATGGAATTGACATAGTAAATTATACGGAAATGATGACATTAAAAATAGTAGTAATTAATAATAGCCGATACTAATAATCATATATGATTAAATAATAAATCATATTTAATTAAACAAATAGCATTGACAATTGGCAGGAGGTATAGCGTAATTTAAAAATTATTTGATATCTAGTACAGCAAGGAATCTAATACATAAATGTAGTATTGCGAAACCAACCATTGTACGTTTGATTTTTTAAATCTAAATAGGAAGAGATTTTACAGTATTGTCTCTTTCTAATTTTATTTTAATATCTAATAAAGTTGATTACCAATGACTTGTTGTTTTATTATGTGAAAATTCTCTTATGTGATTACTTTTACCTCTCGATTAATTCATATAGCGAAGGTTCTACTGTATATTTAAACAAGACCCTAATTTTTTTAAATTTGTTTGCAATTTATATTTTGACATTCCTATCTAACAGTATAGTTTAAATAATTAAATCCATATTAATTATTTGTACATTATAAAAAATAGGAATAATTAATATGTTATTATAAAAATACTTCGGTATACACATCGTTCATGTATCGTAACAAAAAGTATGTATTTTCTTAATTCTATATTTCCTATAAAATTCTCGATAAAATCTAAAATTACTTCGAGTAAAATTTGAATTTCTACGATGAAATAAACAAAGCTGGTTTCATGGAATTGGTCTCGAGAAACATATCCAAAATTAAACGAACCAATCTTACTGCTTCCGTCTTCATATTTTGAGAAAACTCGATAACTAAACTACTCTCGTCGATTCTCTGAACATATCGTAAACAATCTCGTTTTATGATGGCCGATTCAGTTGCGAATCATACGTTTCGGAGGATAAACCACCCGTTCGCATAATGCCCCTATTGTAGTCGCTGGTCTAAACCTCAGATTTGCAAATAAACGCGGCTGGATATGTATATTCGTGCTGAATGCTCTTCAGTTTTCAAAAGTGTTGAACCCATAGCGAAAATCAAGATAGTATTTTTGGTGAATTTTTAGCTTGCTACTTGTCATGTATATAACTGGATTAAGAAATGCTTCAAACTAGTTCCAAAATATGCTTCATGCTTCGATCTCTGCTTGTATAATCACAAATCAATACGAGTCTTATTTCTGCATTCCAATACACAAAAGAGCTGTTAAAAATATTGATCTTTCGTGTAATTAAACGAAACAAAATAGTTTCAATGTATCCCATGTCTTATAAAATTACTAGTTTGATTACAATTGAACACAAACCTGATATAAAAAACCGTGGTAAGGGTGATTCCCTCGCGACTTTGCGCACTCAAAGTACGCGCGATATCGCGGGTCACTCGTTCAGCCATCGACAGCTTCCACGTACCACGAATAACGACAAAGTGCATAGGTCAACAATGATGTAGGTAACACAGTTGAAAAGCTAACCGATATTTCAATTCGCTGAATAAAAGTTAGCTCTAAATAAAAGGGAAGATTTTCGAACTTGGAAACGTTAGATCGACAATCAATTTACATACTTCCGCGTGTCTGTCTGATAAACAGCCCCATTTCGTGGAATTGCAGTTTACTGGGACGCTCATTGTCAGTTGCGTTAATTCTAATCTATATTACTTACTGTTGAAATTCCATTGGATTTTTCGTATGAATCGTGTCTTATTATTAATAAATATGTTATTATAAAAGAACGGCAGAATTTTGTGCTTTGTGAATATGTTTAGAAAACATTACGAGATCTTTACTATTATAAAATGTTTATAAGTAGAACATTTATACGATATACATAAGATTTTTATAAATGTTAAACTTAGACTGTACATTTTTAAATCAATTTTATTTTATTGCTTTTTACTATTAATTAGTATCATTTGTGTATATGATGTTAAAATACAAGTATTATTTTATTTTATTTTCTCAGTTATAATTTATAACACTATCTTTTCAAAAAGATATGAGAAATATAATTTTATAACTGATATTTTCAATTTTTTTATAAATTATATACTAATTGTTAGTAAGCCTGACAATAACTGATGTCGTTTTCAGAAAATTGACGCAGTTGAAGTAAACTACGTCAGAATACTGAAAATACAATAAACATCGATGATATCAATCGTTAGAGGAAAAGATGCGCAATACTTGTTCGAGACAGAAGTTTCATCACTTCATCAAGTTTCAACTAGAATATTTAGGTAAATTAAAAAATGACAAACGAATTACCATACACAGAGAAATGACATTAAAATGTCTCTAGATCTTTCTGTACACGGATATGAAATAAATACCCTATATTAAGGGTAAACAAAATAAAAATAAAGTTCCTAAATAGAAAGCTCTCGACCAATTTGAATAACAGTACCAAAGACTTCAAAATATCCCTAGACACTGACATACACAGTTACGAAGAAATGACGATATAATTCGAATAAACTTATTTTGTTTAAGTAAAATTTTCAAATAAAAGTTCTCGAACGATCTGTATTACCATACGCAGACGAATGACACTAAAAAGTCCCTAGTCCTCATGTGCAAACACGAGAATAATTATCCCATACTTGAGCAATAGCTAAAATATCGAGGGGATCACAGTCGCTTTCGATGTAACACAGCTTCGCAGATACGATTTATTCCGTTAACTGGGCCGTCGTTTTTCAAGAAAATCAAAACGTAGGAACATTTTGTAGAAATCGAGCGATCTCGTGAATACGGCAATCCTCGTAGAAATGCATAGGAAGGGAAGGAATACGGGGCGATAATAGGTACACATAGCGATACTCGTTGTCGGGGAGCGCTGACCGCAGAGATAACGCTTTGACCCGTTACAAGCTTCAAGCACGAAATGAATGCCTTTACTGTCTCTTCCAAGTCGGGCCCAATCCAAATATGTAGCCCTTTTTCTTACCAGCTCGCCCTTTATTAACCGTTACCACCGTGCTCCTGTAAATTCGACTGCTTTACCTTAAGCCGGCATCCACTTCGCCGCTTTTGATACGTACCGAGTTCACGGACTCTTGGCTTTCTCCATCGCGTTTTCTTGGAAGCTCCACGGTTCTTCTGGAACAAGATTTATATGAATTTTGAAATGAACGAGAAACGAAAAGACAAAACGAACTTACAATAGAATTGTAAGTCGATTATGAGAATTTTGCTTATTTAAATTCCATTTTCACTGTATTATAAATATATCATTTCATTATATCTATACGTAGAATAGTTTTCAGAATTATTCTTTTGTTTAATATTTGTGAAAATGTTCCTTTCACTATGTGTCTCATTGATTCTCTTCATTTGAATATCCTTGTTGCTTCGAATAGTACTTGTATTATTTACAAAAATTGTAGTATTTAGGAATGTATATCAGGAATATAGGAATAAATTAGGGCAGGCTATGCTAGACTATAGATTAATGTAAATTTTTAAATGTAAATTAAGCAAACAAATAATTAAATGAACTGAGAAAAGGGAAGCGTAAATGGATGGGTATAAAACTTTGTGACTGTAAAACGAAGTCACTTTTTTTGGCTGAAGAGGCTGCAAATAAAGTCTACATGTACTAAGTATATACAATAATTTTTTTACGGTGATAAATAAATCTAAGCACGTGAAAAAATTGCCAAAAACAGTATAGAACATGTGTAAGATAATTAAAATCAACATTATAATAAACAAAAAATTTTTTTAATTATCGAAATGTATGTTCTCCTCCGGCTGCAATAATACAAATTTGTAAACCATAATTTCATATTTTTATAAGGAAGATCTGATTCCAATGAAATTCTGTGGGGTTATACAATAGACATACATATATAATATACATACCTAGGTGATTTATTGTTTAAATGAATTTTCTATGCGATTCATTTAAAGAAACTAGTCTCTATAAAATTCGATCAGTGGAACAGATAATATGGAGCGGAGTGTTAAAAAGAATCAATGCTGTTACACTGTATGCAATGTTTTAAGTCACTGACTGTAATTTTTAATCCTTTGTAACCTCTGAAACTGATAAAAATATTTATTTGTTCAATTCTAAACATACATCTGAATACAAGTCAACTCTTAAATTTCATCGTATCAAGATATCAAAGATAGCTTTGGTGGTAGTCACCATCAGTGCTAATGGATATCATATGTGCAGCAATAAATGGTTGAAAGTATATAAAAACCGAATTGTCATTACGAACAATTTAAAAAATTTTGGTATCGAATATATCATAGCAATAAAAGATCTTATTGAATAAATCTTTGTTTCAATTCGTCTGCTACTAATTAAATATAATTTTAATATAATTAAAAACTTAATAATAAACTCTCGCGACATAACTGATGATTGGGTCATCTTCCATCTATATATAGAATTTCACGTTTCAAAACAATTTCATTTTTTCAAACTTATGAAGATCGTAAAAGATTGCGAAATCTTATAAATATATATATTAAAAATTATTACAACTGTAAAGACTGTAAAACTTCATATTACGAAACCATATATTAAAATTCTAAAACTATATATTAGTTTACTGTATATAATTTTCGAATTATATAGTAAAAATTATAAAAACATATATTGGAAATTATCAAACCTATAAAAGCTACAAAATTTTACATTACAGAATCATACATGAAAAACTATAAAACTATGTATCAAAAACTGTGAAATTTTATATTAATTTACTATATATGGTTTTAGAATTAGAGAATAGAATATACATAGAACTACAAAGCTTTGTACCCAGAGCTATTAAGACCATAAAAACTATGAAAAAATCATAAAAACTGTACCCTATAATAAAAATAATACACATTATAAAGCTACTAAAAATTGCATCGAATAATAAAAGATATCAAATCAAATGTTAACACGTCTTTTTCTTTCGAGGCATCAGAGTGTGCCGCCTCGTGGAGGGCTAAAAAGGCATTCCTTTGTTTCGTTCAGCGCTCTGGTCTGAGACGACCCAATCGTAGTCAGACAAGGGTTAATTAACATCCTTTCCCTTTGAAACTCTCATTCAATGATCCTCCAGTTTTCGCGATATCCATCTATCCTCGCCGTCAAGTTGTTCGAAACAAAACGATTTCTGTTTAACTGTAAACTCGCTGGACACAGCTCACTGTAAACTGACACGGTTGCGATAACGTGTAAATATATTGTTCCAGAATTATCAGCAAATACGTCCACACAACAATCGGAAGTAATAGTGAGGCTACCGCCTATCAACGGGTACTCAGAGATCACGGGATGCATAGATCGGCCTCACATTTGTGGAAAAGAAGCGGCCTGTCGTAGCTTCGAAGACAACACGTCCAAGTGTGTCTGTCCACACGATCTGTCCTCACCAACGTCAGACTTGAAGTGTCCAAATCGTCTAATAGGTTAGAGTCAATTATCGTCTCGATATTTATGTTTAGATATGTTTCCCGAGATTACTCATGTGAACTTGTAGGACGTAAATTTGCCAGTGATTACGAGAGTGGTTTACAGACAAGATCAGAAAGAATGACTTTATCACTTATTTTATTGTATGTTATTTACGATAAATTAAAACTATTCTTGGGAAAATAGCGAAAGATTGAACTGTTAGATTGAGCTTGTATATTACATTTTAATTCACAATATATTTGATGAACGAAATTTTTAATGCTTACAATTAGAATCAAACCTAAAGGAGGAGGTGGTAATACAAAAGCTCAGTTTGTTTTTCGACGAATTTTTGAAAAATACTGTACAAAGTGATTGAAATTTGGCATCGTTTAATCCTTATAAGTATATTTTTCTTTTACACCTAAGGACCATAAACACGAGAAAAAAGCACTTTAATTAGTAAATTTTGTATTTGTTTGACGAGGTATACCTTTTTTTTTTTTTTGTTGAACAGAAAATCTAAATATTTCACGTCATTTCATAGAAATTAAAAAATGATGGGAGTCTACCAGACTCACGTGAGTACTTCCGGTTTTAGATCTGCATACGAGTGATCTTGGGTTAATTCTTTCGCTATCAGGGTCGCCATATTGATACATTGGCACTAGTTGATCGTTGTATCTGAAAATGATCATGATATGTATTATTCGTAAATGGAGTGATTAAAAAAATTGTTTTAAGCGGACACTACTTACCCAAGGATTTTATATAAACTGTTTTAACATTCTATCTGTTTTGATTTTGTTTTATTCAGCAATATGATGATAAATGTGACGATTTAGGAAATCTCCAAGGTCCTTTCATAATTTGTGTCAATTATCAAATTTTGTACGAGATAGAAAGCTATCTTAATATTTATAAATGAGAAAGCAAATATACTGCTTAAAATAGGCTAGAGAAGAATTATAGGATTTTTCTGTATTATTTTTCTTTTTATTTAATTTTAATTATTCCTAATTATTATGAATAATTTCGAAGGTAAAAGGTACGTTTCAATTTGCAATATGAATTGTCTGATATTTCCTACTACATAAAAATATTTTCACTGTATAATCTTTGATAGAAT